CATGTATCCAACGAATTCGGAATTAAAGGATCTTCGTAACTACTCGAAAGAACCAATACTATGAGTTTACAGGTAAACGCTACCAATTTCACCAATCATTTGATCGAGATGTTAAGACAGCTCTTTGACAGTACGCTAGCTGATTTTTTTAGTCAGACAAGAAGCAGTACAAATTAATTAGTTAGTGAAAAAGGAAGACCTTTATTGAGGAGGGAGAGTTGGTGTGAATAGCTGTTCTATAGAGTTTGTCAGGTTAATTTCTTTGCTGTGTGAAGGCCTGGCGCTGTCTCGACGTTTACGCCTAGATTGTAACAAATGGTCCTCTTAACTGCAGTAATGCTTCTTCTCAATAAGAGCTCTATGCACGGTCCTTGGAACAGCGTTTGCTTGCTTACGTCTGCTTTAAGGGTGGATTTATTTCTTTCCTACCTACAGCGTTTCTCGCCATGCAGTCGACGCGCAATCGGTCGCTGTCTGGCTTCGCGAGCGGTGCTTTGCTTTGAGGAAGAACCTTTTGCTCGTCTGCCACTAAGTCAGTGCGGCAACTCGCGTGTCGATCCAGGTGAGGAGTGCGACCCAGGTTGGCGTGTCGGTGGGGCTCAAAAGGCGGATCCATGCTGTACTTCTCTCTGCCGTCTTAAGCCTGGAGCCAAATGCTCTCCTCTCAACCACCAGTGCTGCACTTTGGGTAGGGCCAAATCACTTTAATTACGCATTTCTTATGCGTGTGAGGGAAACATTACTCAATTTTGCGCACCCACCCCCCTCTCCATCTCAGCTGCTTCCAGTGCCTAAGTGGCTATCAAGCTCCCCTGAAAGGTGCTACTTATAAGTGGACTTCGGGACTGGTGATTTTTTGAAACAATTTCGGGGCAAGTTTGAGGATGGAAAGTTGCTGGTTGTTGATATCATCACCCACCGCAGGTCACGGAACCTATTCATCTCTGTCATTGTTAGTAGAAGGCGGTCGATCTTCAGTAATTACCATCTGCCGTAAAAATGGAAGTTATTTTCAACCATCCAAAGCTAAACCCAAAGTGTAAATGATGTTCATT